AGCTCGTGACCTTCAGTAGCTCCTCAGGAGTCATGGGGTCTAGTGTTGGAACTGGCTCAAACCCATGCACACCTAATGTCCATCTATAGTCACTGGGCTTCAGAGACCTGCTCTGTAGAAGGATCCAGTCCTGGTCTGCAGGTAGACTCAGAGTGAATGCTGCACCCTCTGTTAGAGGTAGAGTCTCTGGTTTGATCAGTCCTACTGCCCTCCTTGAGAACATGTTTTCTCCGTACCTTACTATGGGCCAGTTTCACCTGATACACACACACACTAAACATACAGTTGAATATAGGACACGTTCTGTAGCTACACATAACACCTGAAAAAGTCAGAATAGTTTCATACAGACAGGTGACAAATTAAAGGAAAATCCAACATTAAGTGTCTCAGTAAGGTGTTGGGCCACCATATGCTGCCAGAACAGCCACAAATCACTTTCTGTCATTGGTTATCTAAGTGTGTGGAATTCTGCAGGAGAAACAGAACACCATTCTTCCAAAAGACGGTGTTTTAATGATGATGAGCGCTGTCATTGGTTCACAGGTGTTCAGCTGGGTTGAGATCCGGTGACTGTAAAAACTGCAACATGTAATTCACATCATTGTCATCAGAGCATTTGGTCCTTGCATCCTGTTGGTTGGAGCTTTGTCATCCTGGAAGAGGTCCCTCCATTAATTCAGAACAACTTTGTACTGATTTGAAGTGATCACTCCCTCTAAGTGGACGAGTGGACCCAAACCATGGCAGCAAAATGCCCCCCAGAGCATCACGGAGTCACTGGATCCCCTCACTGTAGGGGTCAGGGTTCAGGTTTTGCTTTTATTTGTTGGAAGTATACAACAATTAAAATGTGATTGATTAGGGTATGTGTTTTGTACTGCTGGATTGCTATTTTAAACAACAATTAAACAGCTCTGTCCCTGAAAACTTGGCTTTGCAAAAGTGTTAAAAAGAAAAAAAAACCCTCTTCAAGTAAGACCTACTGTGGTGAAAAGCTTTTGTTGTTATTGTTAAAATGTCCATATGGTGTTTTTTTTATGTTAATATGCTACAAGATGGGCTGCAGGGTGGTGGAGTGGTTAGCACTGTCGCCTCGCAGCAAGAAGGTCGCCAGTTCGTGTCCCGGTGAGGACACCGAGATCTTTCTGCATGGAGTTTCCATGTTCCAGGTTCTCCAACTTCCTCCCACACAGTCCAAAAACATGTTGAGGTTAATTGGTGATTCTAAATTGTCCGTAGGTGTGAATGTGAGTGTGCTTGGTTGTCTGNATACAGTCTATGGGTGAACCTAAACAGCAGAAGGAAAAAAACTACGACACAATGCTACTATGCAAGTGATCACCCTACTTCATTTGCTTCATTTTTCAGAAGGTGCCATGCAATACAATGTGATGTGATAATAGTAAGGGAGACATATGAACATCTGCCAACTAAATTGTTACCAAACAATTTCTTCACCAATATGTTTGTAAAGGTGTGTAATAACATGTTTTAAAATGTTGAAGTTCAACTCCTGTGAGAAACCCTGAAAAAACCTGTTCAAGTCAGAGTACTGATAAACGACTGTCAAAAAATCTATTTTTTTTTTTATATATCAGCCTTCAGTAACTTATGAGGGTTCAGATCAGGGTTTGTTCATGATTCTGAGTTGATTGTTAGCATTTATGTTTCTCCACAAACACTCCATTGTTGAAAAAGGCCACACTCACTTTACACTTCAGTAGCTCCTCAGGAGTCATGGGGTCTAATGTTGGACCTGGCTCATACCCATGCACACCTAATGTCCATCTATAGTCACTGGGCTTCAGAGACCTGCTCTGTAGAAGGATCCAGTCCTGGTCTGCAGGTAGGCACAGAGTGAATGCTGTGCAGCTGCACCCTCTGTTAGAGGTAGAGTCTCTGGTTTGATCAGTCCTACTGCCTTCCTTGAGAACACGTTTTCTCCGTACCTTACTATGGGCCAGTTTCACCTGATGCACACACACACTAAACCTACAGTTGAATATAGGACATGTTCTGTAGCTACACATAACACCTGAAAAAGTCAGAATAGTTTAATACAGACAGGTGACAAATTAAAGGAAAATCCAACATTAAGTGTCTCAGTAAGGTGTTGGGCCACCATATGCTGCCAGAACAGCCACAAATCACTTTCTGTCATTGGTTATCTAAGTGTGTGGAATTCTGCAGGAGAAACAGAACACCATTCTTCCAAAAGACGGTGTTTTAATGATGATGAGCGCTGTCATTGGTTCACAGGTGTTCAGCTGGGTTGAGATCCGGTGACTGTAAAAACTGCAACATGTAATTCACATCATTGTCATCAGAGCATTTGGTCCTTGCATCCTGTTGGTTGGAGCTTTGTCATCCTGGAAGAGGTCCCTCCATTAATTCAGAACAACTTTGTACTGATTTGAAGTGATCACTCCCTCTAAGTGGACGAGTGGACCCAAACCATGGCAGCAAAATGCCCCCCAGAGCATCACGGAGTCACTGGATCCCCTCACTGTAGGGGTCAGGGTTCAGGTTTTGCTTTTATTTGTTGGAAGTATACAACAATTAAAATGTGATTGATTAGGGTATGTGTTTTGTACTGCTGGATTGCTATTTTAAACAACAATTAAACAGCTCTGTCCCTGAAAACTTGGCTTTGCAAAAGTGTTAAAAAGAAAAAAAAACCCTCTTCAAGTAAGACCTACTGTGGTGAAAAGCTTTTGTTGTTATTGTTAAAATGTCCATATGGTGTTTTTTTTATGTTAATATGCTACAAGATGGGCTGCAGGGTGGTGGAGTGGTTAGCACTGTCGCCTCGCAGCAAGAAGGTCGCCAGTTCGTGTCCCGGTGAGGACACCGAGATCTTTCTGCATGGAGTTTCCATGTTCCAGGTTCTCCAACTTCCTCCCACACAGTCCAAAAACATGTTGAGGTTAATTGGTGATTCTAAATTGTCCGTAGGTGTGAATGTGAGTGTGCTTGGTTGTCTGTGTAGCCTGTGATAGACTGTCCAGGCTCCAGCCCTCATGAGGATTAAGCGGCGTATAGATGATTCAAGATTCAAGAGTTTTATTGTCATATGCACAGCAAAACAGGAAGTTATACCACACAATGAAATTCTTATTCTGTTCCATCTCCCGAAAAAAAGACGACACATTAAAATAAATAAAGCAACCAAATAAGAACAACAATAAACAATTAAAAGCAACAATAAAGTGATCAGTGTTATGAATATGTGCGTGTGTTGCGTGCAGCGTGTGTGAGCGATTCATTGAGAAGCCAGAGGGCCTGTGGGTAGAAGCTGTTTGCCAGCCTTGTAGTCCCGGACTTCACACTCCTGTAGCGTCTGCCTGATGGTAGGAATGTGAAGAGTGAGTGTTGTGGATGTGTGCTGTCTTTGATGGATGGATGGATGCTACAAGATGCATCATGTTTAAAATCTCAACATCATGACTGGACATTTCCACCTTGAAACTGCAGTGTACTGGTGACTAAGTCTCAAAAGCATAGATTCACTTCTGGGTTTTAACCTTAACAAAGCTAAAAAAAAACCTCTGATATTCTGCTTCTTCAGAGCCAATTTCCAGTTCAGACATGTACGGCTGAATTACAGATTTCAACTTTGTAACTTGCCACTGTGTAGCGTAGAGCAGTTTGAACAGAGTCGCAAGTGAGCCGGTGTGCNGGATGTGTGCTGTCTTTGATGGATGGATGGATGCTACAAGATGCATCATGTTTAAAATCTCAACATCATGACTGGACATTTCCACCTTGAAACTGCAGTGTACTGGTGACTAAGTCTCAAAAGCATAGATTCACTTCTGGGTTTTAACCTTAACAAAGCTAAAAAAAAACCTCTGATATTCTGCTTCTTCAGAGCCAATTTCCAGTTCAGACATGTACGGCTGAATTACAGATTTCAACTTTGTAACTTGCCACTGTGTAGCGTAGAGCAGTTTGAACAGAGTCGCAAGTGAGCCGGTGTGCAAGAAGTTAGGTGGAGATAGTGGGATGATTTTCACAGAATAAACTTCTACATGTGTATCAGTAGCCCTGTGATAGACTGGTGACCTGTCCAGGGTGTCCCCTGCCTTCACCCTGAGTCAGCTGGGATAGATTCCAGCCCCCCATAACCCTAGTGAGGATTAAGCGGTGTATAGATAATGGATAGATGGATGTGTATCCGTGATGCACAGAGACACATTTTTAAGGGTTTGATACATGACTGGGAATGGCCTTTGACACTTACATACAGAAATAGTTTGTGGGTGTGGTTTTATGAGATTTGATTGACAGCGTCCAAACAACTGACTGAGTGGAATCAGATTCTGATTCATGGATGGATGTATGAGGCATCATCCTTTTCTAAATGAGTGTTGGCCAAAAGAACAGAGGACGAATAAAAGAAACAAAAAAACAGAAACATCAAGCAAGAAACAGCCAAAAAAAAAGAAAAAGAAAAAACATTACAAATTCCACAAAAATGTATTTTCCATAATCTTAAAATTGTCATTTCTTAGGAACATGAGCGACCTGACAGGGACCCACAACTCCTTGCAGTTTATTTATTTTTTTATTTTATTTTATTTTTTTACATTGAATCAGTATTACAGTAATTATCCTTTTGGGAGGAATGCGGTTTCTGTGTTACTTAACATATAGTTTAGTTCATGAATTCTGTATCTTGGTACCACTGACATTCCTATAGGAACTTGACACTGCGACCTCATCGACCACGTGAAGCAGCCACGCCTGCAGTCGTGCGTAAAGACTGCAACACCAACCGCTGTACGAGCCGAGAGAAGCTGACATGATGGAGCGGAGGTGAGCCGGTGCAGAGAGCAGGTCTGACTGAACAGTGCTCGGAGTTCAGGCTCGCAGTGGGTGGAGTCGGGGATGCTTTGGGTACCGGAGAAGTTGTTGCCTTCTCACTCCGAAGCCATGCGTAATGCGTGCGACCGCCGCCGGTGAGGAGGATGCTGGATCATGAGGCAGGAGCCGACATGCGACTGGTCCATCAGATCAACACAGGTATGAGGATCCAGGCTGGGGGCGAGCACTTGGGCTGCAGCAAGGTGGGAGAAAACCCGGACAGCCAGGTCATCTGTTTGCAATGTCAAGAGGAGGTGGTGCGGGTTTGTCCGGGGAGTCCGCGCAGTCCTCGCCGCGCCATCGCGACGCGCCTGTCCTCCGGATCCGCAGGTAAAGGCATCCTATGCAGCGTATGACGAAAAGGGATGTGCATCTGTTTGTCTGAGTTTCTTAGTTTATCATCAATCACGCTCATTTCAGGGTGAAGTGTGGATGAGGGTGTGGTTCTCCAAGTGAGTGCTTGGGACAACTTCAAACACAAACAGAAGTAGCGTAACGCCTCCTTCCCTTCAACATTCACAAATTACACCACATTGCATATTAATAAGTGTTTTTTCGCAGTAGTTTTCAAAGGGAGGACACCAGAGTCATAAAACAGTGTTAATTTCATTCATTTAAGAATGGAACTGAGTTTAGATTTATCTGAATAAAAACACCCCCATCCAACCATCACTACCAGCAAAAGTTCAAATTACAATTTCTTGTTGTCAAAATCATCATCTTAGACACACTATCAGAGTTGGGAAACCATTTTTTAGTGAACATTTTGCTGTGGTGTAGTTCATTCACGTGATGATAAATTATAAATGTCCCTGGGAGCTGCTCAGAGGCTGATAGGGTTTGCTCAGTCCGAGTGCCGACTTCCCACAGCTTTGGAAATAAATGATACCTGCAGTTTTATCTGCAAACATGGAAGCAAATGCAAGTGCTTAAGCTAAAAAGACTCCCAGTCAGTGATAAATGTCTGCACTGTGCTGCACTTGCTCTTTTCTTGATGCAGCTGTAGGTGTTAGATTAAGGAAATGAGACTTTCATACAAAAGTTCTTTAAACTGGCAAATGAGGCGTTTGTGTTCATCTCCTCTGTCCAAAGCAAAAAAAAAAGTCAGGTGGCACCTTTCAAATAGGGACAGTGACAGTCTTCACCTCTGCTGAGACAGATTAATGATTTAACCTCCATCTCCCCTGATAGCTCAGTGTTCCACATTAGGCCTTTAGTTTCCAGTGTCAAGGTCATTTTTTTTAATTAAACGTGGAACCTCAAATAAGTTAATGCTGTAATGACATAGATGTGTTCTGCACATTGTTGGTGAGCTGCTGCCTTGATGAGGAGGATGCTACATGAGGATATTTTAGCACAGCCTGGTTGAATGAAGATAGAATTCATTCGTCCTGCATTAGTCATGAAGTTGTGTGTGCACCCTAAGTTGACGTGTACAGTATCATCTCATTCGTAAACAACAATGATCAATTACATATATTTTGAAGCAGTTCTGACTTAAAGCTGCACTATTAGCTATTTCTGATAATGCCAATGCATCAGATGAGCATGTGTTATGTCAAAGAAGTCTCTCACAGTGACCAGCCAACAGAATCTGGTTTGGCAGCTCACACCTTCACTGTTTTGATTCAGGTTAAAGTTGTTTCTTTGGAAAAAGTTCTGGTAAACACTAAATGGTAAAGCTAGTACTTAGCTGGTGAACACAGTGGAGCATGTAGCTGCTAAAAGGCTAAATGTGTTCCGTTAGGAGGTGGTGGAGACCAAAATAGAGCAAAAAGGAAAATAAATGTCACACTCCGACATTTGTTACTCCAAGGTAAATAGGCCCCGGTTAGCTAACTGGTTCACCACAGTAACACTGTAGTGTAAATATGAGATTTCTGGATCACAGAACATAGACTTGGTAGCCCACTTTAAGGGTTTTATCATCAACAGTATTGAGAGTTGAGTTGGGTTGAGCTTAGAAGTAGCAATTGGAACCGGAGCTACAAGGAAGTTTGTAGTTTGACTGACAGCAAAAACACTGCAAAGCAATAATATGACAAAACAGCCACAGGGGCAGATAGAGTAACTTAGCAAGTAGAGGAGGTGAGGTTTAGGTTTCTGCAGCTTGTGATTGGTTGGATGGGTCTCAGGTGGCCACACCCACAAGAACAAAAAGGTTTTGTGCCACTAAAGTTGTAAAAACTACACACAGTGTGCATCTCATCAGTTCAGTTACACTCCAACAGTCATCAGAGAATCTAGTTAGTGTCAGGTGCAGTTACTGGGTTGTAAAACCTCCTCTTCAGACTTGCAGAGCATGAAGTGTTCAGATAAGAGGGTGACCAGCTCTTGCAGAATTTGAGACATCAGAGTTAGGGAGTTGTTTTCCTCCTGTAAGTCTTACAGTGTTATGGGCTCATTTCCCTCCAGCACTGCGAAAGTTATGAATTTCGTTCACAGCGTTACACCACAGTGGATGGTTTTATTCCCTCTATATATAAATTGGTAGAATAAAGCACTAAAGCTGCCAGACTCATGGATTTTATTCTCCTAACTCTGCCAAGGTCAAGAGTTTCCCCCCCTCAGTGTGGATCAGGGCACTAACATTGCAGGATTAGGAGGTTTTCATTCCTGTAACACTGCAGGGTCATAGATTTTATCAAACCCTCAGGAGCAGCACAAAGCCCAGTGGCTCAGTGGACACATTTAAAACGGCGAGAGAACACCCTACTCTGGGAATCAGATAAACCTATTTCCCATTCATTACAAAAGCGGTCGCTGTAAAACTATTTAATGGTCACCTGTGTTAAAAATCAATGCCTTTGTTGCACCGTAAGTAGCTTTGGATCAAGTTTCCTCTTGTACATTCTGTGTGATCTCCTCTCCTTGCCGTAGACCGTGAGCCCAGCAGCAGCAGCTACAATGCCTCTTCAGGAACCTTCTACAGCTGCGTCAGTCAGATCACCATCGGTAAGTGAACTTTGAGACTGACTAAGCAGTTTTTGTTGAAGAACAAAATGCTCTGCATGTTTTAAAAGGCCCACTCCAGCTGTTTGTGTGGTAGCGGAATATCTACAAGAAAAATCAATTTGCACAAAACCTCTGGTCATTCCGCAGAGACCGCTGCTTGTGACCTTCCAAAACAAAGTGGCCCTACAGCAGTGGGGATAACAACAGATTTACATAACATCATCAAACCGGACGTGTCCCTCAGCACACAGAAAAAAGAGGAAAACACACGGTTTTCAGTTTAACCAAACAAAATTTCCTGGTCAGTCAGTTTTCATTAATGCAGCAGTCAATGGACTACTCACTAAATACATACATGCTGTTGTACTGATTTGCACATCATTAAATAATCAGTTTATAATTAACACTGCTGATGACATCTCAACAGCCAGATCTCTTATTACACATCAAGCCTACTTAGTAAGGTGCAAAGCAAGAATCATTAAAGGTATGCTGTTGTGATTTTGGCCACTAGGGGCGCTGTAGAGTAATGTTTTGATGAGTGGATACCTGCATGTGAGAACGCACATGTACAGATTTTCCACTGAGTTTCCAGCAGTTGGTGGCAGTAAGAGACACTGCAATGTGTGTGATAACGTAACCAAGAAAAAGAAGACGGCCAACAGCAAAACCTGGATGTGAATGGAGCAAAAAGTATTTTAAAAATTGTCTTTACGTCTGTTTCACGGCTGCTGGAGAATGTTTCACACATATTTGCAAGATCTATATGTACATACATTATAGAAATGTTAAACCCTGCATACAGGCAAAGTCAGAAAGAAATAGCAATGACCAAAACCCATTCTGGAGTGACTTAACATGACTTTTGTTTATAAGAAAAGTTTGCAGGGCACCTTAAAAGAGAAACTCAGCTGATTTTACACATCGAATTCTATGTACGGCTTCCACTTTAAAAGGTTTTACATAAGAAGAGGATGGCGGCGTAAGTCAACAACTCTTATCATTCCTTATGTCCACACTGCAAAAAAAAAAAAAACCCCAAAGAAACCCTGAAAAGTCTTCAGAAAGAATGCTGGAAAACATATTTTAAAAAATGGTGGACTAGTGAAACCTTAAAAACCTGTAAAAACTGGTGAGAGAAAGCAGCAAATATTGGTAAAATGTTGAATTTTAAATACAGTAAAACCATGTAGGATTACAGTCACATGTTGTAAAAGAACAAATACTGTGTGTGAAAATACAGATTTTTAAAGTGGATTTCATTTAAAGTTTTTTAAAAAAATTGTTCGTTTAGTTTTTTATAGTTAAAATATGAATTCATACTTTTTTTCTGCAATTTTATATGAGATATTATTTAAAATTTAACACTACAGGGGACATTTTTAAAAGACTAGTTCAAAGCTACTTACCATTTTTCAAATCCTTAGTATGCATAATTTTTCTTTCAAAATGAAAATGGCAAATATCTGTAAATAAAGATATTATTTTGTTGATTTAAACACAGTAAAAATGGTGTAATTTTATAGTCAAATGTTGTAAAAGAACAAAAAAATATTTTTTTTTTTTACAGTGAACATTTAAATGAATCCTTTTTTCTGTGATTTTACAATGTATTATCTGTAATTTAACAAACTAGGGAAAATCTGAAAAACAACATTGGGTTGTTTTAAATAATACACTTTAAAAACAATTTTAATAACGCATCCATAGTTTTACAGTGTACCCCAGTGTTAGAATCCTAATGGATAATCAATGCATAGCTCTGATAACTTTAATCAGTACGTGCACACTTATGCATCGATGTCAAGTGTTTATCATAGAAGCCATGTTGCCGAGTCCCAGCAGGAGAAACTCAGGTGCAAATCTTAAGATCAATGACAGCTGAGTTCCATTTAGCTGCTTTAGTTTTGATCATGTTGGCTCACGGTCACACTGCTGTAATGCCATTAGTGACACAGCAGCGGTTGGTTCTAGTGCGTCAGTAATGTAATAAAACCTCTTCTTTACATGTATCTTTGTAATTTGTTGCGGCGTCAGTTCTAATCTCTCTGACAGCAGGCCGAGGGGGAACTAAAAGCTACGATTTGCTAAGCAGTAAGACGTTAAAGATTCCCCCCCCAGTCAGAGGGTTGTTGACAGGAAGTAGGTGCGCCGGTGACGAAGTTGTCTCAAATCATTTTCCCTCCTGTCACAAAACTGCAGCCTCATGCCATGTGCGGCGCGGAGGCCTTGCTTCTTGACGTTTTTTCGATGAATATTACAGTCGGAGGGAGAAGCTGCGAGCTATAAGCTGTGACAGTGAAGGGTTCAGCTCAGGCTGCTGCTGCTGCTGCTGCATGCAGGTGTTCTTTGTTTCTCTTTGTGCTAAATAAAAAAACTAATGAAGTGCTGAGGGAGAGCTTTAAACCGTTGAGACTCCTCCCGTTGGTTTTTACAAAGGGAGAGATCTATAGTCTTGCCCCCCACTCTGACATCAAAAAGCCTCAGTGTGCTGCCTGTGATTTAAAAGCTTCTGGCCTTTGTTTGAAGGGAAAATACAAGTCAGCATCACTGTAGGTTCTTAAAAGTTCTAATCGATTATAATCTCGCATTAATTCCAGCCTCCTCCATTGTTGTAGGACTTTACTGCGGTTGTGTGGCTGATAGACAGAGCTAATCTTCACCCAGAGGCAGGGATTCAGCGAAGGATGACGAGAGAAATAATCGAATACACCAGGCTGAAGTTTCAACAGCACCGCCTCACTGACCACCAGCCAGCGCACACATAGAACCAAGAGCTCTGTTTAGGGTAGCTTATTTCTTCGTCTGTGGTATGTTGGACATTTGGACATCAGAATTTTGCTTCAGTTTTCTGGACTCAAGCTGCAGTGCGACTACTCTATCCCCTCCTGTTAGAGAAAAGACTGACCAGGTGATTTAGTGGTCACACAGCTGCTTTTTTCACTTTTAGTGTGAACAAACACACTGGAGGAGAGATTTCCAACTGCAAAACATCATTATGACTCAACTGAGGCCTGTCTTCAAAACTGTTATGAACACTTTATCCACCAGATTGTTTAAATCATACCCCCGTGTCAAACTAAGGGCTAAATGATTAAGGAAAAATACCTAATTGCAATTTTCCTAACTGATAGATATTATTTTAAAGCTTCTGTTCACTATTATGATGTATTATATAATAGATTTAAAACATGTGATCGTGACCACATGAGACGCCATCAAAACATTACAGACTCAATATTCTAATGCAAAGGTGAGAACTTAACATCCATCCATTATCTATACACCGCTTAACCCTCACTAGGGTCATGGGGGGCTGGAGTCTATCCCAGCTGACTCAGGGTGAAGGCAGGTTCACCTGGACAGGTCACCAGTCTATCACAGGGCTACACTTAGAGACAGACAACCAAGCACACTCACATTCACACCTACAGACAATTTAGAATCACCAATTAACCTCAGCATGTTTTTGGACTGTGCTACCAACTGCACCACCTTGCAGCCCAAGTATTGGACAGTCTACAGTCAATTTAAATGTATTTCAGACAGGACACTTTGTCAGATTTTAACCATTTATTTGGGATCACATACATTTAGTTTGGCGGTGACTCTGCTCGTGATGCTCTGGAACAATCTGAGCAAGCATGACACACATGATCCCTGAGATCACAAACCCCCGCAGAGCCATGAATTTACAATTTACAATTTTTCGAATACGGTATGAACACGAGAACAGGAGACCAACTAAACAGTCTTCACTTACAGAATCTAGATTACATAGTTCAAGGTACAATAATGAACCATCTGCAACCTACAGTCCCACGATATGGGAAACACCGGGGTTATATAAGATTGAACTGTTTTTAAAAGGTGGTGGTTGGGGAGGAGGAGGAGATTTGATGATCTGCAGAGGCTGGAGTAGCAGCGATGTGGTGAGCGTGAAGCGGGCAGAATGAATGAATGCTGCCTCAGTTATAAAGCATGCTAAGTGGGTGGGCTGGACTTCAGCGATGATGATTGGACAGGAGGGGCCATGTGACACCCTGACTCCATGCCTGTCTGAACTAACGTGAAGCTCTATTAATAAGCATTTAAAAAAGAAAAAGGACAAAAAAAAGCTTCGATCAGACACACTGTATATCCTAAATTTCATCTTTGCTTGTTTCCAGTTTGAGATTTCGACGTGACATTGACTAATTCTTCAGCGCAGGGCTCTGTACTGGAGAGATTTTCCTAAAGTTTAATAGAAATGTTCACTTGGACTCCAGGATGAACTGACTTCAATCTGATGATCAAATGTCTCTGTTCACCTCACAAAACACACTATCAGGCTTGACCTAAGAATTAATTCACTACCTCTGATAAAATTTCACTCAAATGTCAATAATAGGATGAAATGATGACAGTTTATATACCAAAGGTCAGAGGTCAGGTCTGGGCAGACATGACTGTAGACTGCAGACTGGTCGGCAGAGGCAAACCAACAAAACCTGTGACTTCTATTTTTTCTCCACTGGTCTGATGTCCACTCCTTGTGTTTCTTGCCCTTTCTTCTTAATCTTCTTTAGTCGTGATTTCTTTACTGCCTTTGACCTGACAGTCTCCTCCAGCAGTTGATGTAGAGATGTGTCTGCTGCTTGAACTCCTAGAAGCAGTGATCTAAGACTCTATTAAGTGGACATTTCTAGTAACTCTGATGAGGCTCACCTTTGCAGCAGAGGGACATTTTCCTCCTGAGAACCAGTTTCATCACAGTTTGATGGGTTTTGCACTTGAGAAAAACTTCTCAAAGTCCTTGAAATCTTCAGGACTGACTGACCCTCATGTGTGAAGGTAGTGATGGGCTGTGGTTTCTCTTTACTTAGCTGAGTGATTCCTGCAGTAATGTGGGTTACTGCAGCAGTTGAATGGGGCTGTTTGCTGTGCATTAACACTACCTCAGTGAACCACAACTGCTTGTTTTTTTCATAGTTCTGGTGTCATCTGTTTTGTTCTACAGT